CTGTACTCTTCCAAGTCTTTGTTGGAGACCATGAGGTTATATACTTTAGTCCACTGTGCGGATTCATTTTTCTCTCCCTGGCAGAGGAGGACTGGAAAATGGAAATTGGATTTGTTGTAAAGCTGATTGTCCAGCTGCAAGTCTCCGCAAAAGATCTGGAGAGTATAAAACTGCTGAAGGTCGCTGGTGGTCTCCCCATGAAATTCATGAGACAGAGGCCTGAGGTAGCTGGCGACCGGAACCATATGAAGGTATACATTGTCCAGCGTGAACCGCACAAGTTCAGATGATGTTCTGGGGTTTGTGATATCATCGTACACAGCAAGGCTGAGCTGGCTGACGAACATTTGAAACACAAGGCTCTGCTCTTGAGCTCTGCAGAAGAGAACACAATGACTTAGGTTCCTCCCATTTCAAGCAACAAAAAGAACAAAAAGGGCCCCAACTTGGACAGCCCAGGCAACCCCAATCTCGTCAGATCTTGGAAGCTAAGCAGGGTCAACTCTGGCAAGTACTTGGATGGGAGATCTACTTGAAATACCAGAGATGGGGGCAGGCTTTATTCAGCTACCACTTTGAATATCCTCCAAGCCCCCAGTAGGGGTCATTCACCAGAGCTTGCCATGACTTCCAGGTACACACATACTCACATGTGCACATGCACACACACACACTAAAAAATACAAAAAAGAGCAAAAAAAAAAGAGCAAAAAGGGGCAAAAGGATGGGAGTAATTCAATGCACACATTTTATTAATATGAACTAAAATTAGGCATCAAAATCCCTACAACTAGTACATTAAGAGGCATTATCGGCAGACTGTACCAAATTCAATCTTTCCATCCATTTTTCACATCAATTTATATCTGAGCTTCACTCTAATGTTTTATGCACAGTAGTTCTCTGTTATGCTTGCAACGTAGCATGAAGCTGAAGCAGACAACGGAAAATATCCTCACACATTGTCAGATGTTATGTTTCTGGCTGTTTTGCTGTAGACAATATGGAGTGTTTCTATTATGGATCATTAACTTCACATTATGGAAGCAATATATTCCTCTATTAAATCATCGTGACTATTTTAAACTGATGATGGGTTGCTTGCTTTATAACTTTAACTGCTCTTGGCTAAACTGAACAAGTGGGCTATTAAGCACCAAGAACTGCCAATTTAATGGGGATTAATATTTAATTATAGGTCACAGTGTCCCCCCCTCCCCCCAAAATCTGCACACACATACACATGCGTTCTACTGTCTGTGGAAGTCAAGCACTTTGATGACTGTAAAAAGGTGAGATTACAGTCCAAGTTGAGTGATGTTCGCAGCAAAGATTTCACAACTGGAGAGCGCATGGAAAGAGCATAAGGAAATGTCATAAAGATGATCGACTGCATAGTTTGCATGGGACCATTCTCCTGCCCTTTATCATGAGAACTCCCACAGACTTCAATGGGTGTTCTGTGTGAGGAAGGACCGCCAGTCTGGCCAAATAAACTTTAAACTTGTGAGTCTTCTCTGAGTCTTGTTTATTGTACCAGACATTTTGTGTTTATCCTAGGGTGACATGACCTTAGATGTTAGATTGTCATGTTTTACTGTGATATACCAAATGTTAACATGTGGTCTAAACACATGCCACACATACGCAGCTACACTAGACAAAACAAACAGTTATGCCAGATTTAATAAGTCACTTCACACCTAGAGGGATGAGCAGCCATATGGGACAGTTTTCGTTATGGCTTCCCATGAATTTTAATATACCTGTTCAGGTTGGTCTGTTGTCCTGGTCTCCCTTCAGGGGCTAAAGTTATCACTATTGTTCCACACTGATGAGCAATATCCACATAAACATATCCAAAGCCAGTTAAGAAGATGATCTGGAGAGGGGGGAAAAAAATCCTGTTTAGAAATCTACAATGGCTATAACTCAATTCAGTAAAATTAACTCTGGCTCCCAAATATTTCCTCCAGAGTAATCCTACTGACATCCATTCAACTGTGCTAAAATGAATGGTTTCCGAATTGAAACCCCTGGGTTTAACTTTCCATTTCAAGTGAAATAAAAACAGGACTGTGGCATCAACTGAAAGGTCTACCAAACCCAACATGCAGTCTCTCCAAAAGTCACCAGCACCGGATGCTTGAAGTATAACGCCTATGGGCACATTTCACCCCTAACTCACTCTTGCTGTTTCTCTTTTCTGTTACTCACATTGCCATATTATTTATAATACCCCCATTTCTGCAATGTTTCAGAGGCAGAAAATGCAGAAGACTTGTCATGTGTGTGCTCATGCACAAAGCAGGCCACATACATGTCATTTGCATTTCTCATGCACAGCTAGATTTCCAACAGCCAGGTTTACACTCTGTCCCCAGGAACAGTCTTACCATATTTGCTTGGAATAGAGGTGAAGAGGGGAAGAGAAGAAGCCAACTCCTTTCAAGGAAGCCAATTTATTCCAGTGAGGCTAAAAACATTGCTGTGTAACTGAATTAACCTGACATGAAACCCTCGCCTAAAATATCCTATTGAAATTCTCTTTGATGGCCCATTCACAGATTGTTACTGGTATTCCCATTTATGTTAGCAGGGCACTTCTTGAATGAATATACTACAGCGGTCCTCTATCTTGCTGACACTGTTCAAAATCATTTCTGTGCAATATCTCCCACAATAAAAGATAGTGTTCTTTTTGAGATAATAAAAATTTCAGTTTTTTTGCTGGGGGGGGGGGGCTGCCTAACACAAAAATGATTCCACACATGAAACTGAGGTGGTTCAATCCCCGCTTGAGGACTGGAACACTTCAGGAGGAGTTAATGTAAAGCTTGGCTTTACTGTGAAGACGCAGAAAATGCTGTCCTCCCACAGGCCAAAGCAGGCCCTCAGGGACTGGCAAGCTTCCAGATCTGGACGGTTTTGTCAGGAAGCCACCCCCTCCCCAGCACTACGTCCATTACAGCAACAGGGCTCTTGCAGATATGATGTTGGGCTAGGGGTGCCAATCTCCAGGTGGGACCTGGGAATCCCCCAGAATTACAGCTCATCTCCAGTCTACAGAGATCAGTTCCCCTGGAGAAAATGGCTGCCTTGGAGGGAGGACACATGGCACTGTACCTGACTGAAGTCCCTGTCCTCCCCAGGCTCCACTCCCAAATCTCCAGGAGTTTCCCAACCTGAAGTTGTCATCCTCGCCTTCCACACCTTACTGGCAGTCATAGAGGGCCTGGCAACCCTACGTTGGGCCTGGTTGTACATTGCCAGCAGGTGTGGCACTGTTTTCGTCCAGTCCCCTCCTCCCAGTTCTCTGTGGCTGAAAATAAATCTAGTTATCAAACACTCAAATTTAGGCTGAGCAGCAATTAAACTCTGATAATTGCTCTGCTGGCACAAGCTTCACACTCCTCCCACCTCCCTTTGTGCACAGAGCTTTATATGAAATGGAATGCAGACGCCTCAGTAGTGTTTCTTTGTTTTTCATACACTGAGAATAAATAAACTCTGTATTCAACTTAAGATGCCTGCATTTTAACACCATGGTGAATGGGAGCTTGATCTAACCTGGAAGAGTCTTGCATAAAGCTCCTCATGTGGAGTAAAGGAGGGAGACGAGAGAGAGGGTTGTGTGTGAGCATAAGCTGTGTTCGTGCACAACTGGAGTTTAATTATGTTGTGTCAAACCAGCCTTAGAGGAGCCAAAAACAGGTGTCTGAAGGAACATTCCTAGATAAACTTCTGAACTAGGTGAATGTGTGACTGTCATCCCAAGACACAACACTTTGCTGAAACAAGCTGGAATGCGTGTCTGAATCAATATATAGTCCTTAAGGGATCTTTTTAGGGTTTACTTCTCTTTTTGTTTATTTGGCTATTTTTGTTGCTGTTCACCTTCTCTTTGTCTAAATGATCAGGCAAGTAGGTCCAGGATGTTCATAATCTATTCGAACTATTTATTATTTAAAATCAGGAATCTTCTTTGTGTCTGGAGAAAGCAATCATGGCCATCTTGTTGGGTTTTTTTTTTTAAAAAAACAACAACAGTAGAGGAGGAAGAAAAAATCAAGGAAGACAGCAGAACTTGGGTAGCAGCATATTTATGAACAGGGCAGTAATTTGCCTGAGAGTATCTGGATTGCTGGTGATGCTGCTCAGGAAAAGAAGAACCCAGAATGACTCATTAACACCTCAAGTATAGGGTTTCAGGATTAGCACTGGGGGGAAAGCTTGTTTTCTTAGAAAATTACAAAGATAATATTAAACAAAGAAAAATTTCAATTTTCTCAGTAGAACAAAGTTTGAGTCCAGTGGCACCTTTAAGACCAACAAAGTTTAATTCAAGGTATACACTTTCGTTGCACATGAAAGCTTATACCTTATATTAAACTTTGTTGGTCTTAAAGGTGCCACTGGACTCAAACTGTTGCTTCAGACCACCTGAATCAATTTTCTCAGTGTTATTCTTGAGCAATAAAAAAGCCAATAGCTTGGGGGGGAGGGAATTGAGAAACTTTACAATTACAAGAGAAACTTTAGCAAAAATTGAATCAGGAGAACCGCTTGCTATAAAACACCGGTATTTATTTCAAAGACTTTGAAGAAGATTCTTTCATATGCAGAAAACCTCCATATGAGTTTCAAAGAGAATTTTCTGGAAAAAGCTAACATAAAAAGCAAGCAGGAAACTCAGCGGGCATCTCTGTTGATCGGATGGCCTGACTGTTGACAAGTCAACAGCAAAAACATTATATAAAACAGAAGTTCACAAGACAGACAACTTTGCGGTTGGCCCTTTCATTTATGTTAACCATGCCATACGTTGCTATAGCTGTAGCCCCATTTACTTGCCCCGCCAATTATGTATAAAATGTGTTTTTTCTGGAACAAGAAACCAAACAGCAGGATGCAGAGTGGATGTCATCTGCAGCTATACAACTTCCGGTGGGACTTCGATGGGCTGAACATTTTCTGGATGGGAGCTTTGCAATACTTGGACAACTGATACAATAATGCAATATCCTGACCACCAAAATTTTCCAGGGTGTGGGATTTTAAGAGACAAGCAAAGGGTAATCACACATGAAGCTGCCTTATACTGAATCAGACCACTGATCCATGAGGGTCAGTATTGTCTACTCCGACTGGCAGCAACCTGCCAGGGTCTCAGGCAGAGGTCTTTCACATCAGCTACCAACTGCACCTTTTAGCTGGAGATGCCGGGGATTGAACGTGGGGCTTTTTATATGCCAAGCAGATGCTCTACCACTGAGCCACAGGCCCTCCCCAGGTACTATGGAAAATCCCATTGCTTGTTAAAGTGTTACTGGACTCAGTTTTTGTTTTACTATTACAGATTAACTTGGCTACCTACCTGAAAGTATCCTGACCATATAATCTAAGTCTGTGGTAGGCAACCTTTTTTTTTTTTTGCCTGAGGGGGAAAATGCAATGTGCACCTGTGAAGATGTTGGTGTACAGGCAGGGGTAGGGCTGTGCTTGGTCAGATGCACATGGAGCAAGCTGAACCCTAGTGGTGTTACTGGTGCTCCAGGGGGCTCATCTCAGACCCAGATGCCATCTGCACAGGTCCAGGAGGTGATGTCCAGCAGAAGGCCTATTGCTTTCCTCCATGCTGCCAGCACCATCTTGGTGGAGAACCAAACTGATGTGCCAAGCAAAATAAATTTACCAGGCATGTTGCTGTCTGGCACATGCATTGGGGTTTGCCTTCCCCTGAATGAAGTGCTATTTGCTATTCTTATTAAAACCAACCGTAACAAAACCTTTAAAATGTGCACAGCACTGAAAATTTTGGTCAGTGTGAAAGTAATGCCACTTATTATGTAGTGTGAAATCACAATTAGGGGTGGGCACAAACTGGCTGACAAACCAACGTTTCCCCCGAATTTTGGCCTGTTCGGGGTTCGCAAATCAGAGTTTGTGAACTGAAAAGCCAGGATGAACTTCTGCAAATTCTGGGGCGGTTTGTGGTGGCTCATGATAGTTCATGAGAAACAACTGAGCTTCACGAGGAACAGCGGTTTCTCTTCAAAAGAAACAGCTGAGCTGCTGGGAGCTCCCCACTGCTCAGCTGTTTGGTTTGTCCAGTGTGAAAAGTCGCAGGGAGCAGAAAGAAGGGCTTAAATAGAATGGATGAAGTGCCTTTGTGGTGGCACTTCACCCTCACCTTTTTGCTTGCCGCAGCTTGCAGCAGTTAGGACAAAGGGAGAAGGGAAGCCTCTTCCCCAGCAGTCCCCCCCCCTCTTCTGGCCCCATGGCTAGGGAAAAGGGAGAAGGGGAGCCTCCTCCCTTGCAATCCCCCCTTTTCTCCTGGCCCCGTGGCTAGGAGAAAGGGAAAAGGGACACCGCTTCCCTAGCGACTAATCTGGTCCACAGCCACAGTTCCCTCAAGGATATTGTAGGTATCTTCCCTTAATGATGTACTTGCATTTTTTTAAAAAATAAGTATCTAACTCTTTTATTTGTGGAGATAAAACATCCAGCAGTATTCTAACCAACTGTTTATCAAGAAGTAACCTTGCTCCCTCCTTCTAATGTTCTGGCAAGTGAGTATAATGGTAGAGTGATGTTATATCCAAACTGGCAAACTATGGTTTGCACTTCCCCTCAAAACCAGGACTTTAAACCGGCTTAAAATTATATTATTTACAATCCAGGGCTGCTTTCACATGAAGGATTCTCCCTGTTTCAGCCACCCAACTCACATGTTTCCCCCCCACACATGATGTTGTTTTGCATTCATGCCCCAGCCATAAGCTGCCTGTTTTTTCTCTAAAAGAAATACTTTTTTAAAAAAACAGGGGGGGAAAGATATCTCTGTTGGGGTAATCTGTTTAATGCATCAGAAGGGGAAAGGGACACCTTTGGTTTCAATGAAAAGGAGCACCCACTTCATTTCCCCCTGCTCCAGATGGTAATTTGGAATTTTTGTTGTTGTTTCTCGGCACTGAGTAGCGTTGCAGCACTATTGATGAACCACAAAAATACAAAGCTGTGTGTTTAGGTCTTTCAATGATCCTCATACATATTTTGCTATTTTGGGAACACAGAAGTTTGTAAGCTACACATAAAGCTTGCATAACTGAGACAGGAGGACTGGGTGGGACAGGGACTCACACCTTACTCTATTAGAATAATCAATGAAAATGCCCACTCTTACCATGGTGCTTGAACTACCTATCCACCCTGGAACAAAAAGAGATTCTTTGACACAGAGGGAGGGGGAAATTTGAAGCATTGCCTTGGTCAATGTAGCAAGGAACCAATTCATTAATGAGGGAGGACTGGCCCAAGCCCAGAATGCAAAGAGATTCTTTGACACAGAAGAGCATTTGCTTGCCCACAGTTGAAACGCAGCTGTAACCTAGCAGGAACTGATTCATTGGAGTGGGGAATTTCTTGGCCCCGTTGCCTTTCTCAGCCTAGCAACAAACTAATTCATTCATTAATCAGAAAAAGGGATCACCCTTATTGCTTTTCCCAGGGCAAAAATGTTGCCCAAATCTTGGGAGGTATTAATTCCTTAAAGGGAGGCAAGCATGGAGAATGTGGCAGAAGTATTAAAGTATTACATTATTCCTTAAGTTTGCTGTTCAGACACAGGAGAGGAGGAGGAGGAGGAGGAGAGATCATGATGGTAGCTGGACATGAGGGAGAGGACGTCTGGTGGTGTGAAAGGGAAAACAAGGCAAATAGTGGTGCCCTGCTGTATCTGGAATCTCCACTGCAAGTGCAAAATGACAACTATCAGCAACACGACCACTACGGGCAACCCCCCCCCCCCATGGAAGCAGCTGTGGTTTGGAGGGCAAAACAAACTACAGTCAGTTCAGATGTAATGGCAATCTATGTTTTATGCTAAATGGGAACTAGCTCATTGCTAACAGCACATAAGGAGAGCACCAGGATTTGGGTAAGCAGAGAGGGGCACACATGAGTCTGACCAAGTCACAGTTCCAGATTTTACACGGGAACCAACTCTTGGGTCTCTTGGAAGATTTTAAAATGCACTTCGTGGGTTAATGTGGGTGAGATGTTCTGCATGGAAAACTTTCCAAAAAAGTAGGTGCCTGCAAACAGTGTAAGTACAGCCTGCTGGATTGTGGCCAATACTCTTGGCATCTGAATAAAGTCAGCTGTGCTCATTCACTTTTTGAGGTTTCCTCTGTTGAGGAAGAATTTGCCAATCCCACTAAAGAACTTCCTTTTGTTCTTCAACAGCCATGGCTCACATTAACATTTGAGTTTATAGGATTATATTGGCAATGGAAATGTTGCTATATTTAACTACAAAATTGCTGATACAGTAGTTTACTAATCAATTGGCCCACTTCACTGCATAATCATGCCATTGGCTGGCCTAGCTCATCTCTGGTCTGCTTCTACCAGTGTCCAATTATCATTTGCTTTTGGAGTCAGGTGAATAATTCTGCAATGAATTAACTTTGCTATGTAGAGAAAGGCTCTTTTCCAAAGGCAACCATGTTACTAAGAGCTGGATAAATTAGTTTTTGTTTCCAGACTACCCTTATCTTAGCTTACAAATGTTATTACTGGTCATAGAACAGGTCTGATACATTAGCTAACATCTTGCTAAATTATTTCTTTTAAGATTTCATGAAGGCAGTTAATTCCTCAGGTCAAATAAACTTGCTGGAGGAAGTATTTCTATCTATTTTCTTTACATATACAGACACTATTTTACCAAGGATTCTTTTAATCTAGCATTGCGAAAGCAGAAAAAGTATTTAAATGCCCTCTTCCCTTCAACTCCTTCAACTTTCTGAACTTTGGAATCTTAGCCAAAGGTGGCTCTGATCGTGGATGGCAGATGTGGATTTCAGAAAGTACATAACAGAACTATTTTGTGAGTCAAACTACAAGGACTTTACTCAAATTAATATTTCAACTGAAAAAGCAAATGATCCACGATTCTTTAAGATAAGTCTATATGTATTCAGTGCCAAAACAACAACTGCAACTTCTACATTTGTGTTCAAAGAGACGTCTCTCTAGCTCCAAAGAGAACATAAGACCCATTAAAAGGCTGGGAGCTGTGTGTTCTCTTTGGCAGTAGAGACACATCTGAAGAACAACTCATTTTTATATGTTCAGTTGGATGCTTCTATTTTTCCTTCTTCTTGACAGGAGGCCAAAGGGGCAACCAGACACCAGCTCCATATAGCGCCATTTTATCTATGCAAACCTCCTCAGCAGTCTATGAAGGATGCTTACAAGAAGACCTAACACCATGACACTTCCACTCCGCCCCACCTCTTTAACATTCAGCCTGATGACTTCAAGAGAACTTGAAAGACTGCAAACCATTTAGTAAGGAAAAAGACTACCTGCTAATACTACAGTCAAATCATGAGAGTTTTAAAAATTGCCCCCAAAAGGAAGAGTCACAGTCTTTCACATTTTTTTTAAATCCAAAAGAAAAGTTGTTTCTTATGGCCCTACTGATGACCTCCAAAAATAAAAAGTCCCCTTTAATTAAAAATACCCAACTATTTAAGTGAACAGTGTTAAAGAGTTTCCACAAGAGGAAAATCAATTACCATATTCACTTGAAATGAAGATGACCCTGATATCTATCTATCTATCTATCTATCTATCTATCTATCTATCTATCTATCTATCTATCTATCTATCATCTGTCTGTCCATCCATCCATCTTAGCTAGCTATCATCTAATAATTGGACATAACTGTAACTTGTATCCAAATGTAAGACTTTTTTCTGATGGCATATCTGGGATAAACCTAGTTTTGCATTTGAGTAAATACTGTATAAACAAGAATGACTTACTTTATTATAATTAAAAGGTAGAAGAGGGAATAGTAAAAATGATGATCCTGCCCAGAGATAAGCCACAAAGAAGAAAAATAATTCCACTAAGTGCTGATTGAATTGCTTCCAAGGGTTTGCTTTTCCATACAAAGCAATGCTGAAATAAACAGGAATTCCAACCTTCCCTCCCCTGGTTTAGATCCAAGTCCCTGCAAATAAAGTGAGTTCATTGGAAGTGGATCTTTCCTGCCTTGCCCTAACAACTCCATATGTCACTAATGTGCCATTTGGCATGTGTGGGTATGTTTGTGCGTGGGTACCAAGAAGGTGGGAATTGGTTGAAATCCAGCTCACACCCTCACTCCTGTGTGACTGGAGCAAACTACACAAGTCCAAACCTTTGGGAGGGCACAAGAGGTGTTGTGGTAAGTGGAAGTGGGGAAAGGTACACTTGTGCAAACTCACTCTGCTTGCCAGAGCTTGGATCCAATCCACTTCGTAAAATTCCTTTTCATTTTAATGGGGCTGCATGGGAGAACTTCCCAGTAACTTTTTCACAATGGATAACGCCCTAATTCTCACAGTTATATTTATGATGCAGCTTTTAAATATGTCTTTGCCTCTGTGTTCATGTTTTCTTAACCCTGGTTCAAAAAGGGTTTATACTGCAAAGTTAGAATTTTTTTTAAAATCACTAACCTGCGTGCCTTGGTTATTAATGTCCACAAAATCACTCCACTCATTTGTTAATTCCTCTGTTGATATCACTTTCAAAAGGATGCTGGGGAGCAGGTCTCTGGTTTTGCAGTCTGGATAGCTGGTAACTTGATGATAAAGTTCATGGTGCACTGAACTGTCTGCTGGGACACGTTTGCAGTAAACATCAAACCTCGGTGTATCTGGAATTTAATAAAAGATTCAGCAGCCTCTTTAAAGAAAGATATTTGAATTTACAGAGCAGTTCCATGTTATATCAAAGGAGAATACACAAGCCAGCTTCTGATGAACTTTGTCCAGTATACTATCAGCCCATACAATTATTACTTTTCATTTTATGGATTCCCTTTCACCATCTGCATGCAACAAAGTGCTCCCTGGCTTACTATATGTTAGTTTCCAATGAATTTACTGAAATGAACATTTTAGATGCTCCACTTTAATATACAAGCTTAGAAGTTATGGCAGAAGTGAAATACCTTTGATGTTTTCTTTTAAAAGCAAAGAGACAGGACACCTGTTGTGGATAATTATGCGAGGACTTGGATCTTCTGATAGAGTTAAGTACGTCACCCCAAGATGCTCCTGATAAGTTAGCACTAGAGCTCTGAAGTGAACAACATAGTAACATTAGGCACAAGTTAAAGTTAACTTCATTTACTGTAACAAGCATCAATCAACATTTAAACCGATATCGTATGAACAGCTGCCCCAATTTTTTTAAAAAAAGACTACAACTGTGGGCAATAATGGAAAGCTTAAATTATGAAAAACAGAACACTAGAAAAGGAAGCAATGATCAACTAAGTTCAGACTTTGTAAGGGTTTGCACAGTGGAGGTCTCAGTTTTCATAGAAATTGTTTTCCAAAAACATTTCGAGGATACTTCTGTTAAATAGCCTTCTTGAAGCATACCTAAGAATTAAGGTATATGCTTTTAAAAGTACAGAGCTCCTAACAGACAGCTGGCACAAAAGAAACACTGGGAAGTAATGGTAATCAAACCAATAGAAAGTCAGCACCTAGGGCTGGATTCTATGCAGCACACACAAAAAAATCATAGGCAGAAGCAGATTTCCCCCACTTCTTCCTTCCTCCAGCAGTTATCTGTGTGCCTTGAAAAGGCTGTACTGAGGCCTGAGGACTTACACAGATGAAAAGCCACACCAGACAGGGATCCGCATGAAGAAACTGACCTCCTATCTGTTCTGCCTGTGGCACTTCTGAGACACAGAAAAGCAATTTCACTAACCCTTCTCTCCTTTAGAATGTTGTGTGGATTTTCATCCTTGTGGGTCCCCCAGGCCTCAGCATTGCCTTCCTGAGGCAGCTGCTGGGCAAATGGGGAGATGGGAAAAACTACCCTCACCACTACCTTCCCGCACAGATTCCAACCCAGAGAACTGCAGAACTGACATCTCAACAAGCACACCCACTGATGGTGAGTAACTGCAAAACTGGGGTTGATCGTTTAGGGCAACATCTGAATGCTTAAAAAGAAAAACTCTTAACGTGTACTCTAGTGTACGGCTTCCCTCCTTGTTCACACAAATTCCTGAGCACGTATTCTGATCTGCAATTTTTTAAAAGCTGCCTTTTCACATTTATTCAATTCAAGCGGTTTCTACAGAACGCATGAAGATAAAATCCATGTCAGTTTGCATGAGGAAACCTTTACCTCTTTTTCTCAAAACACTTGAGGATGATCTGCTGACTCTGGCTCTCTTTTAGATTCTAGGATCCCCGTATTTTGACAGCATCCTCTCTTCTAAGTCCTATACTGGGACCTCTTTGAGCCCAACCACACCATTCTTCATCCCGAGGAGTCACTGCTGAGTGACTGAAGTATTCCACTCCTCAGTGCTTAAGGACTGAAAAGCTTCTCAAAGCTTCTACCAAGATGCTCGCAACAAGGGCAACTCCAAGTGGCTGAATTTGAACTCACTGAGCTTGATATTGCTCCTTATTTATATCTACACTCTATGAGTAAGAACAAAATCAGTTTGGGGCCAGGGAGTGGAAATAAAATCTTCTACTGAGACAATGGATGTTTCACTTTACAGGGCTACGTATTTTCAGAGGTGAACACACCACTGGATACACCCAGCCTTTTCAGACTTGGAAAATTTGTCCCTTCTACATTCTCAACATCACTGCTTCTTGGACTGTGTTCTCCCCTGTTCTTTTCATTTGATCTTATTTTCAAATGCATTGCGCAATTCTGAATAGTTCACATTCTTCCTAAAATGCTATATCGGACAGCGAGTCACCAAACCAAATTATTAAAATGAAATTGTTCACAAAATCTCTGTGAGCAATGGGTGTCTCAAGTGAGCAAAATATTACTGAAACATCTGGAGAGAGAAGAAAAACATTTATTGCATCAATAACTGCCAAGCATAAGGAATGAAAAGCATAAGTGACAAAAAAAAATCAGTCTCCTTTCAAACAACAAATGTATAGTACTTACTTATATTTTTCAGTGTTCCAACAGCAGTATTTTCTCTCTGGGAAAATGTGACACTTACTCTCTCCCACAGTGTTTGTGGTGAAGGTCATGGATATCTGAACCAAAGAGCATGAACCAGACCCCTTCCAAACTAATCAATATATCCAATTCTCAATATGGCCCCATGTGTAGATACTTAAATCTGCACATTGGAGCTCTGGACAGACAAGACAGATCTTTCTACAGAGAAAAGACCCAGGTTTGGTGAAAAATCTAAAATCTAAAACAAACAAGTAAACAAAAAACAAGTATGGTGTGTGTGTGTGTTACCCAACAAATAATAGAAGTAGTGCCTCTAGCTTTAAGGAACTAAAGCTGTCAGTGGCTGTTGCTAGACCACAACTGGGCTGGCGGTCAGCACCGCACAGCAACTGGAACCCAGTAGAGTTTTCCCAGAGAGAGGTTACTGGGGGAGGGAACGAAAGAAAGCTAAATGCAGGGGGCAGATGAAGGTAGGTTGGTGGGTGGGTGGCAATCAGGAAAAGGGAGCAGGCTATGGGGATTTTCAGAGAAGGGAAAGAAGAAATGGTGTTTCTGTGTGAAATGCCCCTCCCCTGGAAGTCCAGGTGGGTCCTTCTGCTTGTTCTAACTTAATTCCAGCCAACCTGTCCCATTTATTTTGATCTGAGCTTTATATTGACAGTCAATATGTAATGCTTTCCACACACATTCCACATACCTGGTGCAGAAGTCATTTCCATTTTTATCTCCAACAGGTATGGCTATACTCTGCCTTGGAAATTCCTGTCTGATGATGGCTGGTGGACTCCAGCACAAAGCATTGGGACCACTTATACCAGGTTTGAAGCTTAGCAACATATACTTTTGAAGAGGCAGCACATCGGAGCTTGATGGGCTAATGTCAGGCATCAGGTCCCAGAAAAGAATGGAGCCTGTTTTGGCAGTGTCTGACTCTGTTGCAGAGCATATGCTAAATATACTGTCTGGAATATGCAGGTACTGAAAAGAAAAGAAGGAAAAGTACACAACAATTATTGTCTGAACTGCTTAATGTATGCTAGTTGCAGGTTCTGAGTTTCTGCAGGATTGGGAAGATGGAGAATCCAAAGATCATTAATCATGAAGTTACATTAAATTTAACACCATACCACTCTTTCTTTAGAATATTTCTGTGTCACCTCACCAGAGAACCTGCTCAAGGCTTCTACCCCTTATCATGTAAGAATACAATATTAGAGTACTGTGACATTTTCCAGTAATAGTTCTGTGACTGTTGTAAACAGACTCCATTACTACACAGAGTAGAAATGCCTCCTAATAAAAGTATCCTAAGCAATGATTCATGACTTTAATGGAGGCCCACATAACTCTTTGAGATGAAACCTGTTGTATTGAGCGTATGGTGGGACAAGATACATGCAGATGTCTCCAGGTGATATACAGTATTAAAATTTTACCCTAGGGCATTTTATCCTAAGGCATTCTGCTGGTAACAGGAAACAATAATTGTTGAATTGATTTAAAGGCTCTGAAGCAATTATGAGCTTGGGAGTGTTGACAGAACTTGGGCTGAATCCAAAGGTACTTTTCCGCCAGTGGAAAGGGAGTGGATTTTAACTGATTCCCACCCTCACTGCAGACCCCCACTTTGCCCCCACACTGTTCTTGAGGAGCCCCTGTCTCCCCAGGAGCAGCATTCTGGGAAGCTCAATGGCCACAGAGAGGAGAAGAAGCAGAAAAATTCCTTTCTGCTAATAGATGTGCCTACTGTTGGTGGAAAACAACCTTTGGATCCAGCCCTTCTTGTTTTAAGTTTAGGTGTGGTAAACAATTTTGGCCTTCCAGGAGGATGATGCATATCTTCTACACAAGAACTCTGTACAAATTCTCAGAACTGTTTCAACAGCTATTACAGATTATGTTGCCTCCGTTACCACCAGCAGCAGTCTTCTGCTTCTGAACAGATGGGGACCAGGCAGAACTAATTCTACACAGTATCTGGATCTGCCACTCTGCGGAGATCACTGTTAATTACTATGATTGACTATATTGTGGCATCTATGTTTTTAATTAAAACAACCTAAAATAAGTGACTTGTTTTAACTCTTCTGGTGCTTTCCTTTCAATGAGAAGTTTAAACTTACTAGAAATACAACTTTCTACACATTATAGAAGTTATACAAACAAACAAAAAATACTCCACAGTTAATATTTTACCTCCTCTTTCAACTGGGGCTTCATGACAGAGAGCTGAGGCTTATAATATATTTGGTATGGAGTGTTATTGATAATGATGCTCTTATCTTCAATTTGCAGGATTTGAATACCACGTTGAACAATGGAAGAAATGCAGAACTGACACAACTGCAGGACAAAGTAGGGTGGAAAGTTAGCAGGAAAAGAGCATTCCTTCTCAAACACAGCAAAACAAATGCTTTGTTTTTATTTTAGGGGGAAAATGGATAAACTTGTGTACACCATCCAAAGCAACTTGATTTCTACCACCTCCCTGTCATAACAAAATGTGTTTATATATGAAAGTTATAGCCCCGCTGTTCCTCCAAACACCTCAGAGCTTCGATAGCCAGTGTAGTGTAGTGGTTAAGAGTGTCTGACGTAGTATCTGGAACAGTGGGAGGGCTTCTAATGTCCTGGCCCCACTGGTGGACCTCCTGATGGCACTGGTATTTCTGTCCACTGTGTGATACAGAGTGCTGGACTGAATGGGCCTTTGGCCTGATCCAACATTGGCATCTCTTATGTTCTTATCCAGGTTCAAATCCCAACTCACACCATGGAAGTTCGCTGGGTGACCTTGGGCCAATCATTGTCTCTCAGCCCAACTTACCCCAAAGGGTTGTTGTGAGGATAAAATAGGGGAGAGGATTATGATGTAAGCTGCTTTGGGTCCCTATGGGAGAGAAAGCCGGGGTACAAGGTACTAAGCTGAGGCTGCAACTCTATGCACCCAATGGGAATAAGCCCCATTGAATCAAGTGGGATTGGATAGGAATGCACAAGACTTTCTTGGGTTGGATCCAGCAACTGGTCAATGGAAGGTACTTGGTGGTTGCAAATAGTTCTCAAATTCCCCTTCCCTGAGCAGTCCTTTATGATCCTAGGAAATTTTTTTCCCAGCATTGGAGAACCCACGTGGACCATAGTAGGGTTGCCCACTGGCACTCCAGCAGCTGGTGGGAGAAAGAAAGAAAAATGCTGTCAGTGAAAGTGTGATATTTAGGAATTGCCAGAAATGCTATAGTTTTACCTTACGAGTTTCTGAGCCCGTTCGTGGGGAGGGTGGGGTATAAACTGAATAAATAAATAGTGATTACTAGAGTGGTGTGACAATTTCCAGGTTTCCTTGAAAGTGATGTCATGCCATCACAGATGGCCACTCCCCCCATGTCCCCGCAACCCTAACTAATAGCCACGAGAAGGGGGCTGAATCACCGTCCTAGCCTCTTCTATCAGCACAGCTCCCACTCACTGCAGCTTCTCATGTGGGTCTTGCGGTCCTGGGAAGAAACCTTACATGAGTCAGAAAGGACTGCTAGTGGAAGTGGGGAAGCATGGAGAAGAGCTGCTATTGCCATGTCTGAGGATCACTGTATCCATCCCGCTGCACTATAGCATAAGGCAATGCTGAAACTCAAAATGCTTTGTCATGAGCACTAGCATAGCAAAGTCAGTACAGGGGCTATGTGTGCTCTGTAGTGCACATAGCATTAACAGTGCACTTTCAGTGTTGTGCTTTTCATACAGATTATCACATTAATCCCTACCACAGCAGTGTAAAGTAGGCCAGTATTACTATCCCTCCACACAGCTTATTTTCCTAGCCACTATGCTACACCGGCCCCTCCATTTTATATCTTTAGCAGACCATCCCAAGTGACTACTTTCTACTGAATAAGTTAAATATTAAATGAATAATTTAATTTAACATATCTCTGAATGTCACAAATATTTTTTGAGTTTGATGGCAGATGTGCGTGATTTAATCATTGCCTTGTAAACATTAAGAAATAATAAGCCGCTTCTAACCTTCTGATGCCCTGGGAAGGCTCCAAGTCTTATCTCAGCTTCAACAAACCCTTCTTCATCCAGTGTTACCACCTCCTCGTTGTCTCCATCCTTCCATTTCGGTGATGTCATATTGTGGACGAGTTTAATTGCTACTGACTTGTGCACAGTGTTTGTGTTTGCCCAATATATTCCAATTTGGAAGGCTTCCTAAAACAACACACACACAAAAAAAACCATGCTCAGCAGTTCCTAGTATCATTTACGCGCAATATTCAGATGAGAGGAGTATGCAAGTTTAAATCTGCTACATGGCCGGTCCCCATGCCAATCATGAATGCAAGCAGCAAAACTAAGCTGCCCACAGTCAAGGTAAAGCTTCCTATACATTTGGGCAGCTTTCCAGGTATGCAGAAAAATATGTATTTGTTAATTAACTGAGTGAAAAGGATCCCCCTCCCAAAATGACCTGATGAGGAGTGATTGCACGCCAAGGGGGAAAGAATGGCTAGAACAGCTGCAGGTCAGTTAAAGTGGAAGAATGACTCAGCCTGGTCAGCCTATAACAGTTTAAAGAATCCCGAAGTAGGAGATTTGGGAGGTGAGGCACAGTGAAGTTTCAAATAGCCCCCAACCACGCTCACCCTGTGATTCCTCACAAATCCCCAGCTTCTCTGAATTGTATAACTGCTGTTCTAGTAACTTTTTGGGTAGGTTAGACTTTATGTTATCTGTCATGGCAGTTCTCCCGGCTGCACATGCCAAACACCATTTTATCATAAGCTTTTATAGTCCTGTTAAGGTACGAACCACCGGCCATTCATTCAGTGTAAGCAGGGGCCACGATAACTACATGGAGGTACAGTGAAAGCCCCTTCTTTCCACATGCAGATATTCTCCAGGGTGGTCCTGGCCCTCTACAGAAACACTTGATTGTGCAGACAGCTGCCTTCCACGATCCCCTCCCCCCAAGTAAAAGTGGGGAAAGTTCATGGACCTGGGCCTCCATGTGGTCGTATATGTGGTTACAGGGTCCTGAGACTGGAAACCATTTGAACAGGCAGAGGGGAGAGGCTCCCACCAATCATCGCCACATTATTACAATGCTGCCCAAGCTAAGGGTTTAGATTATTTTTGCTTCTCCTGCAAGCCAACAAACCAATAATAAACATATTTATCTTCAGTACCTGGCTATATTAGATGCTACATACTTATAGATTGAGCAATTGTACCAAAGAATCTCAGTACTGTATATTTAGAACTCTCCCAACCATGTGGGAAGCATATTCCGTTCTGTCTGTAATTTGAACATTCTCCACAGCTCAGAACATGATGGGTGCTCACATATTACACAGGAAAAAAAAGTTTGACTGTGCTTCTACAAGGAATTTAGAACATTTATTTATTTATGTACAAAGCTTATATCTACTCATCTACCTTGCACTCAGATTTTAGGCAGGGAGTGGGTGGGTGGAAGTCAGCTTCTCTGTGTGTGGATGTGTGTGTCCGTGTGTGCATACATGTGCGCAAGTGCCGACAAAGAAAAGACATGCAGCACCCTATGTCATGGTTCAGCCACTGTGCCCTTTGACTTAGCCCCACATGCCCACACCTATGTGTGGACTACATACACAGAATGAGAAAGTAACGCTTAAAAGAAAACAGTGCTTCTTGATCTGAATAATATGCCTACCTGAAAGTTTGGAGGTATCATTGTTTTCCCGGCAGGTATCTGCAGAACAATCTTCTCACCTTCAAAGAGCCAAAGATCCCATTTGGAGTGATTGATCAGCAGAGCCCATGGCAGGAGTTCTATCAGCAGAGTTTTCACACATGGCTTCCACACCGACAGCTTCACCCGCATGGGGCTATCCCACTGAGTGAGCTGTTCGCTGCTGTTCCAAGTAACGTATCAAAGGAGAGATAAAAGAAAATTGTTAATTCATTGTTAAGATTTGCAGTTTATCATTCTAGCCATTCATAAAGCCTTTGTTACATCTCAGTGACTCTTGATAACAGATACAATTCTGAAATACAAAGAGATTTTGCCATGGCCAATCTGTCCCTGATTTTGGATGGTTTTCTCCTTTTATTGAAATAGGCATTCATTAAAGAATCACAAAGCCAGTCACGTTTTTAAATCTTTGCCAGTTTTATGTCACTGCAGATTTAATAACACACCCCTATATATATATATATATATATATTTTAAAAAAAAATCAATTCCCATGTTACCATGTTAAAAAAAACACCACTTGTTTGCACTGGAATTAATGTAAGGTATAAAAGAAAGACAAGGGTCTTCTGTCCAGGAGGCAGAGTGGACTTGATCTACTCAGAGATGCTCTCCAATAAAGTAATGGGGCACATCTAAAGTTTAGTGATAGGAACAGTTTCAGAATTAGGAGAGTTTGGAAAGCCTTCCATTAGGCGTTGGGCTGCTACTTTAAATGAGATTGTGCTTCTTATTATTGATGGTGTGCAGCTTTTGCTGGAAAGATGAGGAGCTTGGGAGTCTTGCTGGATCCTTATCTCGCTCCGGAGAAACTACTGTCCATGACAGTGAAAAATACTTTTTTCTGGCTACTTCTAGTTAGGAAGCTGGCTCCTTATTTGCAAATGCCTGATCTGGCCTTGCTGATCCATGCTTCACAAGTGGCACTTCAGGAGTCATAGGAGGGTCCTGAGCAAAGGGCAAAGCACCCAAAAAAATTGGTTCTGAGAATCTGCAACCCTACAATCTCCTACAAATGAACCTTGAGCTTGTTTGGAGGTTCTGGGGGGGGGGGCACAGTTATTGTATACCGTTGACTGAAGAACGGTACATTCCTTCTATTTGGGATGGTCGTCTTCTTCCACCCAGCACATATCTGCTGAATCAACATTGGTGACCAATGGGGTGACGGTCACAGCCAGATCACCCTCAAATTTGCGATGTAACTTTGGATCAAACCCATTATTTCAGGATCACAGATCCTTTGCCAACGTACTTCTTTCATGGCAGTTTAATAAGGCATAGTACCTGACACAATCCTTTTTTGAATAAGGCCACACCGACTGAGGGGAACTACAACACCCATAGAAGTCAGAAAGTATTTCATTTGCAGTGCCACCAGCGTTTGATTTTGTAGCTATCTGCTTAATAAGTGCTGTGGAGATGGGGACAGCACATTCAGATGGATCATCTTCTTCCCTGTCATGAGAAATCAACATATATCAGATAGGATATTCAGTTCACACATTTTAGAACAAGCTATGTGCATATGACTCTATGGAATGGCATTCTGAACTATCCATTCGACACAGATATGACTCTATGAAATTTCATATTGATACTTCAATCACACTGCATTCCAACAGGCATAAAATTTCTTTAAGGAGTGTTGGGGGGCGGCGGCAAGTTATACCTAGCTTGGAAGGTCAGATGATGGGTTAGATCAGGTTCTATGTTTTGCAGTGATTTCTCTTGCCCTCTTCCTGGAATCACTTGCATTTCATTCAGTCCCAGACTCCTTTTCTCTACATGTATGATGATGGGATCTGGAAGATGGCTTCTCATGATAAAAAGAGGGCTGAAAACAATCTATAAAATCAAAAGAACAGAGCAGCTTCAGTTTTAACTTTGGATACAGCATCCCAGCTGCAGTAACAAACTGTCAATAAATCTACTCAGGGTCAATCTGACCTTAATTTATTTTATAACATGAGAGGTCATATCCATTAGCAACTTGGATAATGGTGAATGTACTCACAATTCGTTGCTGTACTTGCGAGTTGGGTTCCAACGTCAAAACCATGCACCATACATAAATAATAGAACTCTTTGATGATGGCACCTGCAGACAAGAAGACAGATAGCTATTGCTGAGGTTACTGTATGCTCATAAAGCTGAGTGTTTTTAGGTCAACAAGTGTACCAAGACATTGCAAGTCACAAAGAAAATCAACTTTCAGAAAACACAGTATAAAAATATAAGAACATAAGAGACGCCAATGTTGGATCAGGCCAAAGGCCCATCCAGTCCAACACTCTGTCACACAGTGGCCAAAAATACCAGGTGCCATCAGGAGGTCCACTCCATATGCTTATCTAATTCCCTTTTGAAGCTGTCCATGCTTGTAGCACCCACCACTTCCTGTGGCAGTGAATTCCATGTGTTAATCACTCTTTGGGTGAAGAAGTACTTCCTTTTATCCGTTCTAACCCGACCGCTCAGCAATTTCATGGAGTGCCCACGGGTTCTTGTATTGTGAGAAAGGGAGAAAAGTACCTCTTTCTTTACCTGCTCTTTCCCATGCATAATCTTATAAACCTCGATCATGTCACCCCTCAGTCGTCTTTTCTCCAAGCTAAAGAGCCCTAAGCGCTTTAACCTTTCCTCATAGGGAAAGTGTTCCAACCCTTTTATCATTCGAGTTGCCCTTTTCTGCACTTTTTCCAAAGCTATAATATCCTTTTTAAGATGTGGTGACCAGAACTGCACACAGTACTCCTAATGAGGTCACACCATTGGTTTATATAGGGGCATTATGATATTGGCTGATCTGTTTTCAGTACCCTTCCTAATAATCCCCAGCATAGCATTGGCCTTTTTTATTGCAGTCACACACTGTCTCGACATTTTCAGTGAGTTCTCTACTACAACTCCAAGATCTCTCTCTTGATCAGTCTCTACCAGTTCAGACCCCATCAATGTATATGTAAGACGATGCACAGTTAGCCATTGGATTTAGAGGCCTGCAATTTATTGTATGAGGTGCTTCCTTTGAAAACTCTTCAGAAACATCAACTAGGTTCACCAATACTAAACTGAATATGATGACCCAATTATATTTCTTTGAGCATAAAATGATATTCAACGCTTTCCAGTAAGTTTCTAAAGTCCTAAAAAGCCAGGAATCTGAAGGAATGCCTCCTCCCATATTGACTTGCTTGGGACATTGAGATCTATGTCAGATGCTCACACTAGGGGTGTGCATTGGGAAAAATCATTATAACTTTGGTTCTGAGCTTTAGAGGGGAATTATTTTATAATGATTGTTTATTTCTGGATAGGGCATTACCATTCCAGTATTCAAATCTATGTTTTCAAAGTTGGTAGTGGAAATCGTCATCAAGTCACAGCTGACTTATGGTGACCCCATGGGGTTTTCAAGGCAAGAGATGTCCAGAGATGGTTTGCCATTGCCTGCCTCCGCATTACAACCCTGGTATTTCTTGAGGGTCTGCCATCCAAATACTGGTCAGGGATGACCCTGTTTAGCTTCTGACAAGATCGAGCTAGCCTGGACTATCCAGGCTCAGGACCACAGAGTTTGGGACCACTATTTTCAATGGGAAATATATACGCTCAAGCATTTACAAAGATAATGGCATCACATTTTCACAGAACATACTCCTCCCTGTAATCTAAAGAACCCCCCACATTTCAAGTGAACCAGACTAAGAGGCTCAACTTTATAGATCCCTAAAGTAGATGCCTCTTGGAGGCGGGGTTTCGGTGAGCTGATGGCGGCTGTGTCTCCTGGGAACTCCCAGGGAGGCAGCTCGCAAACCAGCAGGTAGAGAGGGGGTGCGAATGTCTACGCCCAATGGGGACCCTCGCGAAGGGTCTCCAGTCATGGAGCGCTGAGGGTTGCCTCTTTCCCGGCACGCTGTCGGGAAATTGAGGCGTCCCTTTGCTCCAACGGGATCTCTGCTGTGTTCTGGCAAGGACTAAGCTACACACATCCCATCAAGTGAGTGGAGGTCAAGCGGCAAATAAGCATATCTTTTTCTTTCTTTTTTATGCCCCCCGGAGGGGATTTTTTATTGTATTTTCTATAAACTACAAACGACAACGAAAAAAGGGGAAGGGTTGTCTACATCTAGGGAGAACGGAAAGAAAACCACTAATAACTAAAACCCCAAGTATAGCAGATCATTACATCAGCTTATATGTGTTAATCTAAGATGCTAGTATTACATTGAACATAGCCGATTAAGCTAAATTATTTATCTTTTTAACCATTTTTAACTGTTTAAAGACAACCCCAAGATAATAATTTATAGTATATGCTTTAAGGCACCATTCAGAGTTCTTCAGCCTTCACTTTGCTTTATCTTTTCTAATCCTCAATTGGTATTCTCATTTAGGCCCCCCCTTTTCTGAAGCAGAGTCCTCGTTGGCAGACACTGAGTCCATCTCATCACTAAGTTTGCTGTCATCTTCTTCCTTGGCGTCCTCTTCTGGTTCACCCAGTTGCAGTCTCATAAACTCACACACTTTGGAAACAGAGTCAGTCTTTTCTTTTTTATCCTGTAGTTTGAAAATGACGTCTTCCGGGGTCAACCATCTGTATGCGATGCTATTTGTTTGTAGAAAGAGGATTAAGTCCTTGTACTTTTTCTTCTTCCTTATTTCAAATGGAATATCTTATAAAATCCTAATAGTGTTGCCTCCGAATTTCAGTGGTGTTCCTGAAGTCGCTTTCAGGATTAAATCCCTTACGTGTCTCTTTGTGAATCTCAATATACAATAACAGAAAATAAGTAATATATATAGTGAATGTAGACGGTGGTCTCCGGAATGGTGTGCCGTTTCGACAATGATCTTCTTCTGAACAAGGATGTGAACATAAACTGTCTTTCAACAATTCATTTCTCTTGCTGACGTATTGGAAATATACTGTTGATTCACTTCACAATAAAGCTATGCTTACAGCTATGTTCTTCAATGGGCTATAATTGCTGAATGCCAATACATTCTGCCCCTAGCTATTTATCCAGCCACAGAAGTACTAAAGGGCTCTGCTGAGGCCTGTAGCCATGGGGGCATTTGGGGGCAATGCCCCCACTGATGAGTGCCACCCCCTCAGAAAAAAAAATATCAAAAAATTTATAACACTATTTAAAAAATGCAAGATGCGTGTGGGGGTTTCCAAAATGATCCTGGGTACCCACGCCGAAAAATAAATAGGTTTTAAAAAATTAAAATAAAATTGCAAAAAATAAAAATAAAATTGCAAAATGCAAAAGGGAGAGAGCCAGAGATTCCCCCCCCTCCCCAGTTTACAGAGAAAAGCAACCTGGAATCGAATCTCTCAAATCGAAAGGACTAGAGTAGCGGAGCCAGAGCTGCTGCTTCTGTGGCTGGAAAAGGAGCAGCAGGTGCGACCGGGCACCCCAGCTTGCACCTTGAGACATTAGGTAAGCAGTGGAAGCCTTTATAGTGGTAGCACTTTGTCTATGGAAGATCCTTCCTGAATAGATACATGAGGTTTCTAAGTTTTTCCCCTTTGGATGCCCAATTACGACATTTTGTTCTACAGGGATGCTTCTGTGTTTGTTTCCCAGACCCCATTTTGATTTTATATTGAATTTATTGACTTTCCCCCCAACATTTAAATTCCTTTTAACATCTGGTTAAATTTATTTATTTTATTAGAGTTTTTACCCGCCCTCCCTGCATATCAGGCTCAGGGTGGGTTCGTTCAGATTTAGTAAACAATATACAGTATACAAAAATTAAAACAGCTATGGCCCCTTTTGTACTTTTATTCTCCAAAGTAGTATATGATACCATCTAAGGACCAAATCTTGAAAGAGATGACATCTGTGAGTCTTTAACTATAACTTGCACCGGCTGAATGTTGTTGTATATTATTGACATTTTAACTGTTTCCAGTGAATAAACTGTAAACCAGCTAACAGGATAAATGTAATACGATGTTTCAAAGTGATTTTTTAAAAGAGTGTTTAGTGACCCAGCACCGGTCACCTACAATCTACACATTTAGAAGGCCTTTGACTTGGAAATGCTTTTTTATTTAATTAAAATATTTATAAAACTTGTTTTTTTGACTTGCATACCTGAATGACTGTGCTGTATTCACTGTGCTTGGGCTCAAGAGTGACATCTCTTGACCAGTCTTCATCTCCTTTAGCCTTCACACTCAATTCTGTTAGCTCATTATTTTCTAGGACATATGAAGGTAGCTTCTGTTTTGGTGCAAGGCAGTCAAAATGTTCCTTCACAACTGCCTGTCCATCCTGCCCCATGTAATGCTGAATAACTTTCAATTCAATGCTTTCAGAAAGATAACTGCACACAATCTGTCTCCCACAAATAATGATCTAAATTAAAAAGACACATAGAGAAATATTCCATATTAGTCACTTCCTATAATATGTATATTTTTGTCTATGCAGAGATAAGGAAACACTACTGAACTGCATTAATTCACAAATGTACTCATTCACAGAATAATTCACAAATGTACTCATTTTCAGAACAACCATTCTATATACTAAGCCTCTACTGAAAAAGTATCATTTGGACAAAATACCAATAATTCCATATTTATATTAAATCCCAAGATCAATGTTGTGAATGTTCAACCTCAATTCACTATGCCAGTTTTGGTAGTGTAACAAATTAATCATCAACAGAGGTCAAATCTTGTATAACATTATAGGTCTTGAGGATCATAACGCAACTTTGCAGAACATGTTTCTCATCTGTACCTCAGCTTAATACCTTAGTTTGGGGCCTCTGTTTATCACCCCTTGTTAATGTTGCCGTCATCACAGATTTCTTCTTGCAGTAGTCAGTCTTCACTTAAAGAATGGGCGGATGATTTTTGCTGCTTCATCCTTTCTACTACAGACCCTCAGTCCCCCTCATGTTGTTCTACTGGGTCCCCTGTCCCCCAGGAGAAGCATTTCAGGGAGCATTTTGGGCTACAGCAAAATGGTGAAGGTAAGAAAGTCCTATTTTATTGACAAAAATCCTCTCAGTCAGTGGAAATTCATGGTGGATCCCACCCAAAGAATTTTTAAACTTCTAGAAGTTTCTTTATCTACACATTATTATCAAAAAGGGGGGGGGGTAGATGCCTTGGGTTGTGCCATTCCAACTCTTAAAAAGAAACACAAAAAAGTCAAGGTTATGGCTGGAGTGCAACCCTAACTCTGGTACAGTATCTGGATGTGAAAGCTCCTGGGAATCCTGTGTGAGCTGACTTGATTTTCTTGAGAGAAGCAAGGTGGGATTATAAATGTAAATTATAATGAAGAAAAAAATATGATTAAAGTTTCTGCGTGGTCAGGTCCAGATGTAACTCTAGCTTTTAGAAAACCATTATTTTCAAAACTGAAGCCAAACTTTTGAAAGCTTATTTCGTTCCTCCTTCACTCTCTAGAGCAATTTTCCTTCTATCGTGTTTGGAGTTAACCTTAGGTCGGTTACCTTTACAATGGTGTTGACAATAGCTAACACAATCCATGGTTCCTTCATACAGTTAGCTTGAATTGACCCAGCAAAGCCCGCATAAGGGATTCCTGGTTTGCTTTAACTACAGTTTACATTAGTGATACTAAACCATGGTAGACAGTGAGATGGGAAAGGAGAAGAGGAATAACTCTGGAGATGAGAGGATGAAGCATACATTCAAAGGCTGACTTGACCATAGTTTACTAGAAATCAGCATTATGTCTGCACTGGGACAAAGGTTTTAAATGACACTAAAATATGCTAAATGAACCTGCCATCAAACTGCAGAATTCCTGGACTCTAACAACAGGTGTCGCTTTCGGAATAATTTTGTTAGGCTCTTTGTGTGCATGTGAAAGAAAAAAAATTCTTCCATGTCCCAATCTGACCCTAAGGTATCAATATCTCTTAGGCATTATGTGGCATTAATGGTGCCCTTAGTCAACTTAATGTTTCACAAAAAATCAATCCCTGTATAAAAATCCCCATGTACTACCCACGTAAGGACACTTACTTGTTTTTGCACTCCGTTGAGCTGCTGGACCTTGATGATAAGGGATGCTGTCCTTCCCTTGTACTGAATGGTTCTGATAAATGTTCCTGCGTTATCTATACTGAATGGCTCAGACCACCGCCAGTTTCCCCAACCTTCAATACAGATATGCAGCAGCTGGAAAAGATTAAAAAAATTCAGACCAATATGCACACTAGTGATGACCTGTAAGAACAGCAAAATCCAGGTCCTATAATTGGAACATTTCTCATTAAAGCAATCTAATATGGCTTTTATTGGGAAAAGAAACATGTTGTATGATTCAGTGTACTAATTTACTATAGCACTTGATAAGCAGACTATATCATACTTAATAAAGTCAACAAAGGCTTGAAAGGTAAATTCCTGAGCATACTTCTTCTCTGTTTCACTATAGGCCAACATGAATGAAGTAGATCTACTGTATTTGCTAACCAAAACAAAAACATATAAATATTATGCCCTTCTAATACTGAAAAAACACATCAAGGTCCAGAGGAATGAGATATAGCAGCCTCAGCACATGAAGGACAAGGAATCAAGGCTAATGGACTGAATACCTTTAAATCATGCTTTCCCCACTGAAGTCTGACTTTGACCCAAGAAGAAACCATGATAAAAGACGGCTACAATGTTACAACTCAGTAGCCTCCTGGCAATTTTTGGTCCCTTCAGCACATGTAAAACAAACATGTTCAGTACTGTGGGTGGCTTTTGAGTCAGGCCTTGACTACTAACACAAATATACAAGATGATAAGTACCTTGAGGGAAAATGTGCTCCATGACATAAAAGCTTCTAATGGCTTTGATATTTAATTCCAAGTTACAGAACAAAGGGAAATAATGCTAGTGGCAGAAACCAAGTTGCTCAAAGCTGCAGTGGGGGAAAAGTACCGCACCAAAAAAGAGAAAGCTGCCAAACTGCAGAGAGAAGCATAGCTCAAAATGCACACAAGCCCAAAATAATACGTGATGTTAATACCAAAGGTGATCCCATTTAACAATGTACTAAAAAAACTTTGCCCCCCCCCCAAATGCTCTGCGCTGACATGCCACTGACTTTGATACCAGAAACTCTGCCCTGGCAAGCTCTCCCACCTTGTATAAACTGCTAGACTATTATCTAAGAAGCATTAAGGACTATATTGCCAGTTTTCACCCAGCAGTCATTAACTTTACAAAATGTTGACTGAATAATTTCATAACTTTGCACTCAAAAATTCTGACATTAAGACTTCCCAACAAAGATCACGAAAAGACCAGGAAAGGATCATGTTGGGGTAATTCTCCTTTCACAGTTGTATGAAATGTATGAAATGAAATCTTCAGTCGGTTGCGTAAAACTTTTATAACTTAGACAGAGATTTTATATATAAGGGAAAGCAGTTGGGTTGCTATGGGGGGGGGGAACTCCCCAACAGAAGGGAGGATTCATGTTTGGCTTTCCAGTTTACAAGGGGCTCACCACCCCCATGCTCTTCCCTCATCCCCACCCCACCACTGTCCAGCGATGCTTGCTACTGCTCCACTTGCCTCCCTGGCCTGTAGCCACTTGCTTTACATTCCTGATAGGGTTGCCAACTTCCAGGTGGGGCCTGGAATTACAACCAATTTTCAGATTACAGAGATCAGTTCCCCTGGAGAAAATGGCCACTTTGGAAGCTGGACTCTATGGCAACGTACCCCACTAAGGTCTGTCTCTTCCCCAAATGTTGCCCTCCCAGCCTCTATCCCCGGATCTGCAGGTACGTCCCAACCTGTACTTGGTAACCCTAATTGCTACTAGCAACTATCTCCATCCTACCACTTTAGACATAAGAACATCTATTCATGTTATGTTTAAAACAGCCTCTGTAGGAATCAAACCCGGTAACACTCTTTTAACACCAGAATCAGGAATTTTAACAAGCACAAATAGGTAACATACTCAGTCAATAAAGTTAGACTTTTCTTTTAAGGGATTTCCCCCTGGCTTTGAAGTTTTCTTTCCAAAGCTGAAGGAAATAGCCCCCTCCCCATTTGCACAGCTAGCACTTCCAATGCATTCCTTCAGTAAGATCTAGACTTACGGTTATTTTCTGGTATCTTTATCCATTCTACCATAATTCTATTATTTACTGCATTAATATTGATATTGCTTCACTCAGTATGGACAACAGTGGTAACACATCCCTGGCCAGAGGACAGAACAGTTTATTAACAAAAGAGGAATGGGTTTGTGCCACAAATAGTGGGGCTGTGGGAATTGTCAAGTAATAGCAAAGAAATGGATAGAGTGAGGCTAGAGTGATTCAGGAAAAGCTTTGTTAATAAAATATCACTTAGAAACTTATTCTCCAGTGGAACAGACAGAGGAGGCAGCATGTCATAAGACACAAACACAAGAATGAAAGGAGGAACCAGAAGATGAGGTTTTGGATCAAGAAACTATATCAAGGGGGAGATAAAAGCTAATGGCATGGTGGGGAAGAGTGGCTTTGTATGCTACAGAGAAACAGGGAGAAAAGGATATGCGAGTGCTTTACTATGCCTCCAAAGTAATGTCTGAAGGGGAAAATGAACACCAGAAGCCGGTACAACTCATGCATCTCTCTGTAGGAAAGATTTGCAAGCTTCCCTTTGGTGTATTACACCAGTAATATGCAAAGCAGATGTGTATGTCACGCCTCTAACATCTGAAACTGTCCTCAGGCTGACATTCACCCTGACTGGAAATAAATGAGATAAGATTACTAACTACTGCGCTGGTGCACCATCAAGAATCCGGTATTATCCTGGCTCTGCAGGCAAACAGCCTGGAATAAATTTTTCACCACAGACTGTCTGAGTGGAAAACATAAACTAGGAGCATCTTAGACTTTAACAGCGCTTTTGGTCTTGGTTGTAAGATCCATAGGGTCTCTTACAGATTGTCCTAGCAGTCTCTATTTAATTGTAATTTGCTATGTATTTTCTATTTTAAACTACAACATTTAGGTTTAAACTAACGATTGTCTGGTCTGCTTACAGATCATTTTGACCCAGTTACCGTGATGGATGTTGACAGGATTTTGGGATATGTGAAGGTGACCACTTGTGCTCTGGATGCTGGTTCATCCTGGTCGTCAAAATCATGTAAGGAGGATCACATAAGTGAATCATGGATGTCTGTCAGAAATCAGTCACTTACTCAGGGCACCTTCTTCAGTCACTCACGGTAGTAGTCATCTGTCCCCTACTTAAAAAACATCCCTACACAAAAGTGATATGGCCAATTATCTCTCTAAATTGTCCTTTCGGGTAAGGTGACAGAACTTCTTGGATAAATCATGCTCTCTAGACTCTTTTTAGTCTGGCTTCAGGACAGGCTATGGGACAGAGAGAGCACTGGTAGCTTTACTTGAAGATCTCTGCCTGCATATGGACAAGGGCCATGTCCCTTTGTTGCTCTTACTGGATTTATCTGCTGCCTTTGATCCTAGTACTACTGCATTGCCTATTAGATGTCCTCATCCTATTGATTGTACTGATTGTACTGATTTAAATTATGCAATGCACCATGAGCCTCAGTGAGATAAGTAAATAAATTAACATAAATAATGACCTGGGATCAGGCATCCGTGCCTATACTGCAAAATGATAAACTGTGATTGCAGAGAAATGGAACAAATAATGGAAAGAAAAAGACTCCATCTGGGATCAATGGAGTGGAGATAATGAGGGGGGAGGTTTAAAACTAGCAATTATTTGACTGCCACAAAAGTTATTTTAAATGTAGACCTGAAAGCAGGGGAACAATGTCCTCGATTACATCGTAGATAGCACTAATTGGCTCAAAAAGGGTATAGAGGAAGAAAAAGTTCATGAATGTCTCTCTTCCCTTTAAGCCAGGGTCATAAGACTGTTTTGCAGAGGTTACCAAAATTACTGGACCTAACAAGAACACAATTTGCAGAGTGCATTTGCCTCTTCCTGATAAGGGGCAGTGGGTGGACAGGCTTGCAGTTTCCTGTCATGTTCTTTGATTGGTTGTCTGAGAATAGCATAAAACTTTCCAGCATTCTAGACAAAAGAGATGCTCCTAACCCTCCCCTCAGATGAGAAAATAATGTATTTGTGCTGGCATCAAGTGAAATTTTTGCATCCGCATTGACACCAAGTGAGTGACACCCACTCAAATATGTATCGCCATGATGGAATGCAGCAGCCAAGGAAACATAGTATTTTCTACTTTTTTGTTTGTTAGTTATCTTCATGGTTTAGAATATCACTTCACACACATGTCCCCCCACAGATGCAGGTTGAACGTCACCTTTAGGAACACCTGGTTTCATTCTAACTTATTGACTGGTGCCCACAGGATGACTTGTGAGCACATAACTTTGCTCAAACAGCCATGAGAAGAATCATAGCAGCTGACAGACACTAACAATGATATCATAATACAAACTCGTTTTTCTCTAGAACTTGAAAAATAAGCAAATATGATAGCATAGAACTAAACTTGAACAACACACATCTAGCTTACTATCTCATGAACTTAAAACCAACAGCACAGAGTCTAAAATGCTTTAAATACCTAAACCAAAGTAAATAAATATTTTCTGAGAATGTGCATGCACTTACAATAAAAAATGTGCCTGTGTACTTACTGACACTATTAGCAAAACATCCATGTACTTCTGGAAGTGCATGCCAAATGAAAACAATGGACTATTAATGCTGGCATTTTAAAAACATAAGCCAGGAAATACAATGTTGATTGACTATGTACTAAATAGAGTTTGTTCACCTAACAATGACATTCTTCTAGAGTTACTAAGGTCTACCACAGCGGCTTTTTTGCACAATCTACACAACCTTTACACAAATATAGCTGAAGAGGTGGTTGAATTAGGGTTGTTATTCTGAATAAAAAAGCCTCATTTAGGCTGAGTAGCCAGCTCTGGGTTGGGAAATTCTTGGTGATTTGGGGGAGGAGCCTGGAGAGGGCAGGGACTTCAGCAGGGTATAACGCCAGACAGCCCACCCTCCAAAGCGTGGTGTAGCTTGGTGTAGTGGTTAAGAGTGGCAGACTCTAATCTGGAGAACCGGGTTTGATTCCCCACTCTTCCACATGAAGCCAGCTGGGTAATCTTGGGTCAGCCACAGCTTTCTC